AAAATTATATTTTGACAAAACTATAAAGGTAACCTTACATCATTCAGTAGGAAATATGTCCCCCTTTGGCAGCAATTACTGCTTTTACCCGTTTTGGCATATATTCTATAAGTTTCTGGCAGTTGTCAGATATCCTTTCATCTTGATACCAAACCTGAATGGCCGCTTCTATCATTTTTGTTTTAGTGGTACAGTCGATTTTTCGCAGTCTAGCTTTGCAAATGGCCCATAAATTTTCAATGGGGTTGAGGTCGGGCAAATTACCGGGCCAATCTAAAACATTAATCATCTTATTTTTGAAAATGCCATCATTTCCTTTGATTTGTGACAGGGAGCAGAGTCCTGTTGAAGAATCGCTCCTCCTTGGGGTTGACATTTTTGGACTTGTTTGTCCAAATACTTTTCCAACATGGATTTGTATTCATGGCTGTTCATCATGCCTTCAATTGGCACCAAAGATCCAACCCCCATGTATGAAAAACATCCCCAAAACATTTTCTTGTGAATATTGAAAAAATGAAAAAAAATTCACAGTGATTCCATTAATTCGCACAATACTGTATCTGTCTTGTGTAAAAGAAGAAGAACTAAATATTAAATTTTTTTTTAATATTTCACTTTATTCGTAATATTACTTTATACGTAAAATTTTATATTATATAAAATATTCACAAGAGTTTTGTGGTCATTTTACATTTGGTTAGTCACTCTGTACAAACCTTTTTAGATTATTAAGTAAGTCAGGGTGGTATTGCTGGAAAAACCCATCTTGATTGCACATCAAATTTCTTTCTTATTTGGGGTCAACATTCTTCTTGTGAAATTACAATGATTCTTAACTTCTTTGTTTCGTGTGTATGGTTCTCACTATAAACCCAAACGGTACATAAATACCTACTTCAGAATTTGTGGTATTCTTTAAATATTTTTTTAAGACTCGAACAAATCATGAGTAGCTAATTATTGATTCAGTGTACTGTAAGAGGAATGGTCAATTCAGTAACAGACAGTTTTAAATAAAAACTCAGCGATTTAATTATACACTTACTATCTAATCCAAATATAAATTCCTAATATTATTACCAAACGACTTTTTCCTCTTTAAGTGCCATGACTGTTTTCAGGCGCAGGCAATCTTCATGACAATTTCTTTCTATTGGTCCCTGTTCATGACTGCACGGAACAACTGCTGTAGTCCTTGTTTAGTTCAATGTAGCGTGTTTGGTAACTATGAGAATTTTTTACGGCCTATCCAACTTTTACCAATAACTTTGCCTTGGATAAGCAGGCAACGGATATAATATTTATTGAATGTTATTATGGCCGAAGAAGATAACCTTGCGGATTTTGACGATTATCAGGATTTCTTAATCTTTGTTTAGCTGTCTGAGAACTGCCTCATTGCTTGTATGACTAATCCAGGACATTTTGAGAATGTATCGGTAACACCACAGGTTTCTATTTTTTTCATAGTACCACTTTTAAGCATCCATTTCTCAGCATCGCAAGGAAGAATGCTTCATATGTAATATCTGAGTGTTCGTAATGACGTGTTAACCGAGTTTTTTATTTGTTTTGGTAGGTATACTTTCACGATTCTATTCTACGTACCATTTCAATCCTCACCGTTGTCTCTTCATAGCATGTGTTTTCAACTTAACAAATATCTAAAGCGTGTAACCATCTGAACTTTTCAACAGTTGATTGTTTTCGAAAACAATTGTATAATAATTTTATCTGCAGCCGTCAATCTTATTTCTTGTGTGATAAAATTATTGCCTCATATGCGACCTTACTCATGTACTCTATCCATTAGTATTTGCAGCTCGTCCATAGTTTCTGCGATGATAACAGTGTCATCGGCATATCATATGTTGTCTATAATTTCACCTTCTATTTCGACGCCTTCTGTCCTGCCATCTAGGGCTAAAATAAAGATGTTCTTTAAGTATAGGTAGAATGGCAGGGGTAACAGAACATAAAATTATTCTTCGTCATGCCTTGTGGAAACTCTCAAATTTTTGAGAGTCTTTTCACTAATCTATTTTGATTAAAAATAGGCTTTACTAATATTTTTTTTTCATTAGTCTTAACTGAAAACTCATCAATTCCAATTTGTTATGACCGAGGAGACCCTGATTTTCTTCAATGCATCGGTTTTCTTCTCCATTATTATGAAAATCATATTATCTTTTATGTTCCTCAATGATTTTTTGGCTGATATAGCATTATTTTTTTTAACTAAAACTTCCACATATTGCAAGATAACCTTATAATCTGCCCTTCCTTGATAAAATCATGCCATACATAGGTCCTTCTTTTTTCACCATAGTATGTATATTAATTTTGATATTTTTGGTCTTAAAATAATTTGGTGTATCTGTCCAAATCCCATCACCGTCGTGGTATTAATATGATATAGCCTTACCTATTTGCCTGTCTCCAAATTCTTTCGTAACTGGTATATCTTGTTCCAGACAATAGATTTGTTGTGATAATCCATGATTTTGTTTTTACAATTTTTTATGATTGTTTTTATGCTTTACTCATTTTTATTTGGGTAAAGTTGAAACCTATGTTGCCAAAAACATTCCTAAAACGTTTCTTTGTTTTGCATGGGATTATGGCTATAGTCGGACAATTTTCAATTAAAGGTGCCAAAAAAACCCGAACTAAAGGGTAGCGGCAACCATGTAAAATGTCAGCAGTAAATTCTTACCAGGGTCATTTTTATTGTGTGTGCTTGTAAATATGTGAATATTGTAAATAAGTGAAAAAGTAAGATAGTCCCCACAAAATTTGCCCCCTTAAAAATATAAATTGGTGTGATTCACGAGTGTATAGTAAGACAAGTTTATTGAATAGTTTGAAACATCCGTAAACTTATCAATATTTTGCTGGTCTATATATATTTACCGTCTTGAAAAGAATAGGAATGAGAAAAATATGATATTCTAGTTTATTCCTTCCATATTATATGTGTGCATAGGCGTAGTGTGTTTTATTTCTTGGGAATTTATTAATTAAATAGACTTTATTATGAACTTTAAAATAGTTTTAAGTAACTAAAGTAATTTTGAGGCAAGTTTATTCTTTTTATAGTATTAACCCATTAACGGCCGCTCAATATATAGAGAAAAAATTGACAATTAATTTATTAGATTGGTTTAAAAACACATAAATTAAGACTAATTTACAACCAAAAAGATTTTTTTCTCATTTTCAAGAAAAACAGTACAATTTTTAATAAAGGAACATATTGTATCTTAAATGTAAATTAAATTTTAAGGTGAACATTTTCGAAACATTCGGAGTGTAGATGCATTCTACACCTTTTACATAAATAAATAGTATTACTTTTGCACATCCCACATTCTTGCACTATCGTCTCTTTTTGTAATGTGTCCAATAATGTCGAATCTGGTTTCATCTGGTAAAGCAAATTTAGATTGACGTCCATGTACTAAGTTTGGCTTTGGTGTAGCTATTATAAATTATAAATATAAATCTATGTCGGTTCACGCTTTCTCTTAGAATGTGCACTTCTTTATCCTCATCCTTTGGCCAATGCATATCAACTTGAAGCAGAGTGTGAACCAGATAATATACATAATATGCTATTATTATTTTTCTAAATATATGTTATTTATTTCAAAATCGTGACAGTTATTCTGCAATGCATAAATATTTGTAAAATATAGAATACTCTTAATTGCTTTTTTATCAAAAAAGAGTGAAAAAACTTTAATATATGACTTGCCTCCATGGTTGGCTTTTATATTGTCTAAATATCAATCAGACTGATGTTGAATTACTACTGAGCACGAAGGAGTATCTGTTGTTACAACTTTAGACGAATTTGAATGTACTATTTTTGCCTGGTTTTTTCTTTGGGCGTTTTATCTGCGGTTCAGAAGAATATCATAATCAGAATTGTAAGAATTCCAAATCACTTGTGATTTATATGTACCTGCAATATCCAATTTTATTGATTCTTCAAAAATAATATTATCATCAATGTCTTCTACATCAGAAACTTTCTAATCTAATCTCAGCGGCAAATAAACCACATTAATTTAGTCAGCATTTTCACAATTTGAGTCTTCTTCTAACCAAGCCATTAACTCTTTAGTAGTTGGTGCCTTTTTAATTTCATATTTCGAGAATTTACTAAAATAAACAAATGCACTACTATATACACCCATTCACATGATAATAGTTTAGCTTACTTCATTTTAATTTATATAAACTTCCTTATATATTTTTATATTTATACAAACAAATAAACACAAGGAAACTTTCAAATTAAGTAAAAAAAAACAAATATAACGTTTACAGCACACAACAATTCTATAAATAGTGAATGATGTGTAATAACGAGATCGTATGTTAAAATTGAAGATTGGTTTTAGTCTAATGAAAAAAATAAGCATTTTCCAAAGTTTTCTGTTTTTAAAGTTCTGTAGTAGGTACTTTCTAATAAGAATAAAATTTTACTTTATTTTATTAGACAACTATAAGATACTTGTTAAAAGACACAGGCTAATTTAATGATTATATCGGTCTTAGATTTAATTTTTACATAATTGCTTATGTATTTAAATAAATAATTAATTTTTTTTTGGCACGCCTCTGCAAAATTGATAGTTATCGTTAAGGGATTCGTTAAGTACGATGTTGCCAAGTAATCCCCTTCAATTAAAAATTGTTTTAGTATAGCGCAAATGAAAGCGCTAAAATATATACAAGCCTATATACCTTAAAAAATATAACACACACTATTCTATTGCCTTAATTTAAATTTGTAGATAACTATATAATTAATTAACTAACAAACTTAAAATAACATTAACATTTTAATAACCTTAAAAGATACTCTATAAATGCATACTTTGTGGAATTAAAAATTAATTGTAAAATCTGACTTTTTATAATAAAATAATTTCTTTTTTTTAGTTTTTGTATAACCTTTTTAATATAGATAACTTATTGTTTTTTAGATGGAGAAGATACTGAAGTCCAATTCGCCGAGTCCGTTCTGCATCCAGCAGCCGAAAACTACTACAAAACCAACAATATCAACTTTAACTCAGCTCAAGAAGACTTCTTTCTGAGTATAGAAGACGATCCCTGCATTCAATTCCTTATTGGAACTGACAGCGAATCTTCCGACATTCTAAGAGATATCGTTGGTTTGGACGATGTCGTACCTCTTTTGGTTGCAATAGATCTACCCAAAAAGCGACTGGCAGTTATGGAGTACGGAGTAGAAATTAATAATGAAAGTGTTGAGGAGTTTGTTAACCGAATGTTAAAAAATGAACTTCAATTTGTAGATATTATTGAGGATAAGGTAGAGGCTACAAAAAATCGTTAATTATGTAGTTTTAGTTAATAGAGAATAGACATATATGACTAATGTTTTGTACTTATCCTAAGGTTTTATTTAATTTTAATTTAATTTTTTATAGAATAAACTTTATACATTCCATTCTCTTTGGTATTGTTTGAGAAAGAATTTTTAAAGTAAATTTTTTGTATTAAGTAAAAATTGTAGAAAAGTGAGACAAATAATAAACAATTAATTCGGAAAACCAGTTAAGATTTGATTTTAGTATAGTGTATCTAGTGTAGTATCATCCACTTATTTGCTTATACGTATTTCTTTTACTCATGACTCTTTAGAGCGACTGTACAGAAGCCATAAACGTGAAATCAAATCTTTTCCGCTAATATAAGTAATAATAAAATAACTTCATACAGACACTACGGCACCGTCGAAGAATAAAAACAAAAAATCGAAATCCTAGGATTTCTTAGTTTTCGAAACCAACAATTTAGATTATTGCCTAAATCTGTACCTTCTACAAGTTTCAACGCAACTCAGACGATGAATAGAATGACATGCGGCATCTAAAGTTGCATTCCATCACATATTAATTTATCTAGGCAAGAACCTTTAGTGAACTGGTTTCTTATACTCAAAACGAATAAATAAAGATACAAAAAAAACAGTTAAGATTTTATTTCAGTATAGTGCTTCCACTCATTCGCTTATACGTATTTCATCCTTGCAGGAATATTCAGAGCGACTGTGCAGAAGCTCTAAACGTAAATTTAGCTTTTCCTCTTTTTGTTTTTAGTCTTAAATGGCTCCGTATCGTCTGTTTAAAGACATTTTATTATTAGTTCTTTTGACGAAAAATATTTGAATTCACGTTTAGGGCTTCTGTAAGGTCGCTCTGAAGACTCACAAGAGGAGGAAATACTTATAAGCTAATAAAGGGAAGCTTCTTCTTCTTCTTCTTCAGCTTTCATGTATCCAATGTTGGACATAGGCCTCCTCCAATCGCTTCCACGCTTCCCTATCTTTTGTAATTCTCATCCACTGCTTTCCAGCTACAGCAGTTATATCGTCTATCCATCTCTTTTTAGGTCTTTCCACGCTTCTTTTTGTTTTTCGAGGTCTCCAGAATGTCACTTTATGAGACCATCTGTTGGTGTCTTGTCTTGCTACATGTGCTACCCATTGCAATTTCAATGTCGCTATTTTTCCCATGATGTCGGTTACTTTAGTTCTTCGACGTATTTCGGTGTTAGGAATTTTGTCTTTGAGGCTTATATTTCTAGCACTACACCAAAATCCAATCTTTATTGTTTTTGTGTATATTTATTTACTCGTGTTGAGTCTTAAAACCAGTTCACTAAAGGTTCTTGTCAAGATGAGGTTAAATAAGGTGGAAAAAGGCACATAACAAGAAAATTGGACAACTGGACTGTTCAAGATATTTTTTTAGTTCTTTGACCGATGTAGGCGCCAAAATATTTACTACAATAACTTCTGTTGTCCCACGCGCGCATGTACATTTCTGATCACAACATGTATGGAATTAACTTGATGCATAATCATTTCAGCTAAAGCTATGGTTTTCTTGTATCGTATATTAGGTCCAGGCGCCTTCAGTCGCGATGATATCCAAATTGCTAGATTTTGACGTGTTTGAGTTCTTAAAAATTTTAACATTGAAAAACTTGAAGCTACGACGATGGGCATTACTATGGTTTGCAGACTGAAGCTGTTTTCGCTTGAAAATCCTTTTTGTGTGGTGGATCATCCCATTCTGGATATGGTTTTGTAGTTTCTGGTCTGACTTCGGCTACGGCCCAGAAATAACAAACGAAGAAGTAACTATGTTCATTAAGCGGATTAAAGATGGGAAATCACCACGACTTGATGTCAACATATACAAAACAACATCTAAGAAACTGGTTACTTACCAAAAGGCTGGCTACTATCAATATTCATTCCACTTCCTAAAAAATCAAACGCTAGAAAATGTGAAGAACATAGATTAATTATTTTGATGAGCCATGTACTTAAAGTACTCCTTACTATCTTTCGCTCGCGCATATACCTACACCAAATTAGAAGAAAACTTGAGTGAATTTCAATTTGGATTCAGAGCAGGACTTGGAACGAATGAAGCAGTTTTTATTTTGCAAGTTCTAATACAAAGAGCCAGAAATGTCAACTGAGATGTATATGCATGTTTCATTGATTTCGAGAAGGCATTTGATACAGTCCCACATGGGAAACTAATCGATATCCTAAAAACATCAGGACTCGATGGTAAGGATATAAGACTGATCTCAAACTTATATCTAAAAAAAAGCAACTCCAACAAAAGTACGATTAGAAATTAAACTGTCCGAGATCTTCACAGTTGAAAAAGCAGTTAGACAGGGCTGAATATTGTCACCGGCATTATTTAACATATATTTTGAAAACATCTAAAGAGAGGCCTTAGACGAATCAGAAGATGGGATTTCTGTAAAAGGCCAACTTATAAACAATATTAAATATGCAGACGATCCAGTGTTGCTTCTAGATAAGGCACAGGGGTCCAAAGAATGATTAATACCGTTGTAGAAGCATGTAACAAATACGGCGTAAAACTTAATTGCACAAAGACAAAAATAATGACCATTAGTAAAAATACCAACATAAATGCCCAAATTACAATAGGTGATACACCGTTAGAAAGAGTGAAAAAAATATGCTATTTGGGCTTGGATATTTGGGAACACAGCTATGAAATAAAATTTCGTATTAAAAAGACCAGAAGCTCTTTAAACAGCCTTAGGTAGATTATCTGCAACTTATCTTTAAATATCAATTGACGCATAAGAATTCTTAGATGTTACATTTTTAGTGTCCTCCTCTATGAAGTAGAAAGCTGAAGCCTTACAGAATATGCCATAAAATGATTAGAAGCATTTGAAATGTGGTGCTACCGACGCGACTTATGCTGAGGGTCTCATATATACAGCACACAAGTAACATAACTATTCTCCAGAGGCTAAGAAAAGACAAAGAAATTATTAACACCATAAAAAACAGAAAATTGGCTTACTTGGGTCACATCATGCGTAACGATAAATACCGACTTCTGCAGTTGATTCTACAAGGCAAGATTGAGGGTAAGAGATGCCTTGGGACGTATACGTATATCCTGGCTGGCTAATCTTAAGAAGTGGACTGGTCTAACGCCAACTGAAATATTTCGAACTGCTATGAACAGAATAAGATGGGAGAATGTGGTCGCTAAGATATCCAAAGGAGAGGCACATTTAGAAGAAGGTGTAACTTCGCTGTTCTCACTACTTATTTCCATTCTTCTCTCTTTTTGATTGTCCTTTTTATATTTTTAATTTTCATACTTCCTTAGGTCTTTTTTTACTTGTTGTCTCTATCTCAGTTTTGGTCTGCTTCTGGTTCTTTTACCTGGTGATATGCATTCCGTTTTAACTTAACGGATTGCTCTTCTCTCTTCTCATTATGCGTCCATCCCATCTCTAGATTCTTTGTGCTTTTATTGCTCTAACTATGTTCTCTTGACCTATCCATTCTTGTATTTCCTGAGTCATCCATTGTCATCCTTTTCGTTTTCCCTCTATGGTCCCAGTATTTTTTTGATAATGTTCCTCTCAAAAACTTTCAATTGGTTTTCTCTCCTTGCTGTTAATGCAAATATTTCTACAGCATATACTACTGTTGGTTTTATTCTACGTAAGCTTAGTTTGGCTTCTTTTTCTATTTCTTGGAAGGTTTTCTTCAATGCCTTTTTATCTGTTGCTACTATGGTTATATCTTTTGTATGTCCTGTTATTTGTACTACATTCTTGTTTACAGTACCTGCGTTTGACAGCATTTTTATTGTTTTGTCAGGTGATAGAATAAGTAGTACTGTTGGGAGCGCATCTCCTTCTCTTAAACCATTTTTTATTTTTATTATTTCTGTTTTTTCTCTTCCGGTGTATAGCTTGGGAATCTCGTATGGTCATTTCTATAATTCTTATAATTTTATTTGGTATATTACTCTCTTGTAAGTTTTGGATAATTTTTTTCTGTTTATTTTGTCAATCGCTTGTTTAAAGTCTAGGAAAAAATTATAGGTGTTTCTCCATCGTACTAGTATAGCTTCTATCTGGAATCTTCTTCATATGTATAGCTTCTATCTGGAATCATTTTTTTTTAAAGCGTCTGTCTTTCATTATAGCAGTCATTATTTTATATGCTACATTCAGTAAATTAATTGCTCGATAGTTTTTGCATATTCTATGGCCTCCGTGTTTTGGGATTGTCACTATAATTCCGTTCCTCGATTCTTTGGGCATTATTTGTTTGCTGTGTTTTCCCGTTTTTAAGTTTGTATATTTTTCCTTTTACTTCTGTATAGGTCAATTCTTCTTCTTTCTCATCTTGTTCCGTGTTATTTATTGTTTCTCTATCCGTTTCTTGATATATTTCTTCGAACTACTTATGCAATTTCTTTTCTTCTATAAGCCTGCACCACTATAAGCAACACTAAATTCTGTGCGACAATTTTTGCATCTGATAATTGAGGGAGTATATATTTGCTGGATAAATTCGTATTTTTTTTGTAAAGCTTGTAAACATTAAAGGAAACATAAAAACAGTCTTTAAGACGTTTAAAGCTATACTATCTTTTACATTTTTTTCACATATTTAACACCAAAGTCATTGGGAAAAATACCTCCAGTCGGCAACCAAAATGCAGATGGGAGGCTCCGGAACAAATAACCGAAAAACGAGATGTGTCTTTTGGTAGTCTGGTCACGTTAGCATTGTATCACTATGTGGTTGCCTGACATCTGCTGCTTGTGTATTAAAATAACTAGCAATTATAGCACCATTAGATTACTTTGTATCTATCTATCTAATTAGCCTTCTTCGGTCCGTCTTTGGACATAGGCCTCCCCAATCCTTTTCCATTTTTCTTTGTCTGTCGCTACAGTCATCCACCTAGAGCCCACGTGCTTATTGATATCATCTGCCCATCTCATTTGGGGCCT